TAATATTATTGTTTATAAAATATAAGCTCTTTTGAAATACTGCTTTGCAAGGCATTTCAATGCAGACCGTGCTTTTGGAGGCCCCACTTATGTTAGGAAGGACAGGGGCAGTTTCACTGTGTGAACACAAAAATTAAAATAAAATTGGAATAATATGATATAGTAGTTATTTCTTGCTTTTGCAAAAAACAAAAAAAAAAACTATATACTATGATAGCTATAATGATGTTGATAAAAATATATTTTCTTTTTAATGTTGATATGGAGTACAATGTTGGGGTACTCTACCCACCTCTGCATACAGGTAACTGAGCCATGCTCACATTGGACTCACCTGAGTTAAAACAGCTGACCCAATCCCGCATGTGCTGCACACCTTCTCTCATTGCTGTGTAAATGTTTGACTTGATACACCCATGAGGCTGAGGACCAATCTCCATGGCTACACAAAGCAGGATTTACATGAAAACATCCTTTCAGTGGGATCAGACGCATTTATGTTAAAAACAGCAAAAGGCAAAAACTCACCAAAGCCGTGTTTTCCAATGGAGTCGAGAGAATATGACTCTTTAGTGGAGACGTCAAAATGGATGAATCTCATTGGCGTATCCGGCATCTGCTTCTGACAGGAATTAAGAACAAACCCAAAGTTACACAATTTATACAGTTTTCATGGAAATGGTTGTTCAAGTTTTCTGGAGTTTGTTTCTGTCCACTGTGATCATTTCGCGAATCCGATCTGATCTATCTAGGAATCATCACTCAGGCGTAAAAATATTTAAAAACTGGAGGCATGAAGCAGAGTTGAGCGTACTCCCATCAGATAACAAGAACCGGTTTGACATTAATCTTTCTGCACAATTACCGTCAGTCTGTCACAAAGGTACAGTTTGTTCTTGTTTCTTCGGCTTCAAAGCAACTATGAACAACTGGCTTACAGACAATATTAGTGTCACTTGAACATTTTGACACTCGCACTACAAACAAAGTGAAAGCGCATTACAAAGATAAACAGCCCAGCGGTAATCCTCGAGTGTGACACATATTATCGTCACATTCTCAAGTGCACATCTCCAGCTAGCTCAGCTGCCTTCCTCTCCTGCAATTGGCCATGCAGTTTCTTGGCTGAAATAAATGGTTTTGTTATCTTTCATACATCACTGTTCTTATCCTCATCAGAAAACAAAAAAAAAAAAAAATGCCTCAGCTTTCAGAGTCCATGGAGAAAATCTATGCCTCCTCTAGAGCACTTGAGTGCAGCCACTTTGGAAACTGACAGGTATTGACATCAGTAAGACCATTTCCAAAGAGATATTCGGTAAAAACTTCCTTAAAATGATGTTGTGTGTTGAGAAAAAAAAAAAAAAAACAAAGCACAGGTTTAGGAAGAGCTGCAGAAGATGATTTAACTTTGGATGATTTATGTCTCGGGTTTGCAACAAATTTTGTCCCATTTCTTTAAGACTTTCAGACACTGTTCATCTGCAGTAGACAGTTTTTATTTCAACCTGATGTGGTCTCTTTACACTTTGTCCACTGTTCTTACATTGTAAACAAACATTGAAGAGTCAGGTCATGGCCAGGTGCTGCGCAGAAAAACATCGAAACTACTTAAGACCTCTATTAAACATTACAAGACAGTCGGGACGCTCTCTGCCAGATCTCGACTAACACGTCCACTATTTCTACTCAGGTTGCCACTGAAAACTTCAAAGCATTTACCTGCAAGTGTCTGAATATGTGAAGACAGACCCAGTCACAGTCAGAATAAGCGATGAAGCACAGGCCCATGTTGGCGGTGGTGTTGTGGAGGTCACAGATGAGATCCACTGCCGCCCGGCTGCCTTTGGGACCCAGCAGGTTGTTCAGTTCACGGGCCCGGAAGATCTCATAGGGGGCCCCCTCTGATGCGGGGCCACTAGAACACAAACACTTTAGCTAATGGAGTGCTGTACTAACTTAATATATGATTTCATTTATTAGGGTTAAGGTGGAATCCAAATCAATCAGGTCACAGGTAAAAAAAAAAAAAAAAATCTAATAAATGGTTGTTTCAACAAAGAAAACATTATTCTCTGCATAATTGTTTTAATTCATCCATACTGGAGAGTTTTTTAACATACAAGCAAATGGCCTGTTCAAGGTCATGTCACATAATCGTAGTTTTTATGTTTTGAGCCGTTCAGAGGTCGGCTTGTTTCGGGAGTTTTGAATCGTTTCTCTTGCAGCAGGACCAAACTGAGGTTGAGCTTATCATCTTAAACTGGTGCCTGGACTTTCTGCTTTGGGATTTCCCAATAAAAAGCTAAATTTATGGTTCTGCCAGTCTTGGCTTAGGCTGGTACCTCTGACACCCAACCAGAGATAAGCAGAAGGCAATGAATGGAAGGATAAATCTGTTGAGTCACAGTTTAACAAAAGGGTCAATTGCATCTTTTCACATTGACGCAGGTCAGTTTGAAGAACTTTCTCCCTCAACACAGTAAATAATGATTTAAAAACTCTGTTTTGAACCTGCAGAGCTCCTCTGAGTGATATCTGAACTAGTTTGATGACCTGAAACAATGTGACTGTGACACAAGCGGGATGGTTTTCTGCAACAAAAACAGAGCCTCACTTGAGGGTTGCGTGGGTGAAGCAGCGGTTCAGGTCAGTGTCAACGTATCTGGTGCACTGCTGCACGGCCCGAGGGTTGGACAGCAGCATCAGCAGCGACGCGGGCCCCCCGTCCTCCTTTCTGTTCTCCGGCTTCAGCATCTCTCGCACCAAGTACACTCCTGAGAGCTCGTTGCCGTGCGTGCCGCCACAAACTGCGGCACGGGACAACCTGGGCAAACGCACCGGCTCATCTACCTGCATCTGACAGAGGAAACCAGAGTTCAAATAAGAGATTGAAGGGTGGCGCTTATGTTCTCATGTTTTATTCAGTGGGCATCGATGCGAAAAAGAAGAAGAAGAAGAAAAAAAGCAGCCAATATGACAATCGGTGCAAAACCAAACAGAAATATAGATTTGTGGAATCTTACCTTGGTTCTCAGGGCTGATGTTAACTGTGAAGTAAACAAAAGTCACCACTGAGATTAACTTCAGCTTAAAGTTTCTTTGGAAAACACAGACATGGCCGAAATAGTGGTAAACCCGATAGGTTATTGACGAAATGAGTGAAAAGGAATCATGCAGCTCATCTTTCTCCACCTACCCACCCCCCTCCTGTTACCTTTCTCTCCCTGCCATTTACCCACTCGCTCACCCTCTCCTGGACCTTTTATGTAGTTTCACTGATTCAGCATTCCCATCCCTCCCTCTCTGCCAGGCTGCAGCCGCCCATCATGGTCTCTCTCAGCCTCTCGTCACGCTGCACCGCTCTAGGGCAGGCAGGGTGTGCCCCCGATGGTGAAAACAGAGCGTCCCTCTCTTCCTCTGGTCGCAAACAGATGAAGAGTTCAAGCCAAACCCCCTCCCCCCCAGCTCACCGTGTTCTCTGCGCACTCCGTGCATGGGATGGTAGGTTCCAGCGGGCTTTTCAGATAAACCTGCCAGCATGACACAGCAAGAGAACAGAGGCGCCTGTGGTGTGTTTAGTGGAAGGAACAGCTCTTCTAGCCGAGAGCAAAGCTGAGGATTTGCAGCGTCCGATGCACAACTATTGGTAAAGATGCAGAGAGCACCTTAAGATAAGTTTGGCTGAAAGACACGAGAGATTACAAGACGTTTCAGACAAAGT